GCATTTTCTCGGGGTTTTCTCGTGGTTTTCTTAGGATTTTCTCTCGGTTTTCTCAGGGATTTCTCAGGTTTTTCTCAGGGTTTTCTCAAGGTTTTTCTCAGGGTTTTCTCACAGTTTTCTCACGGTTTTCTCAAGGTTTTCTCAGGTTTTTCTTAGGGTTTTGTCAGGATTTTCTTAGGATTTTCTTAGGGTTTTCTCAAGGTTTTCTTAGCGTTTTCTCATGGTGTTTTTAGGGTTTTCTCAGGGTTTTCTTAAGGTTTTCTCAGGATTTTCTCAGAGTTTTCTCAGGCTTTTTCTTAGGGTTTTCTCAGGGTTTTCTCGGGGTTTTCTCTGGGTTTTCTCTGGGTTTTCTCAGTGTTTTATCAGGGTTTTCTCAGGCTTTTCTCAGGCTTTTTCTTAGGGTTTTCTCAGGGTGTTTTTAGGGTTTTCTTAGGGTTTTCTCAGGGTTTTTCTCAGTGGTTTTCTCAAAGTTTTCTCAAGGTTTTCTCGTGGTTTTCTCAAGGTTTTCTCAGGGTCTCCTCAGGGTTTTCTCAGGCTCATGGTGTTCTCAGGGTTTTGTCAGGGATTTCTCAGGGGTTTCTCAGGGTTTTTCTCAGGGTTTTCTCAGGGTTTTCTCAGTGTTTTCTTAGTGTTTTCTCAGGGTTTTCTCAGGATTTTCTCATGGTGTTCTCAGGGTTTTCTCAAGGTTTTCTCAGGGTTTTTCTAAGGGTTTCTCAGTGTTTTCTTAGGGTTTTCTCAAGGTTTTCCTAGGGTTTTCTCAGGGTTTTCTCATATTTTTCTCAGGATTTTCTCAGGGTGTTTTCATGGTTGTCTCAGGGTTTTCTCAGAATTTTCTCAGGGTTTTTCTCAGTGGTTTTCTCAGGGTTTTCTCAGGGTTTTCTCATGATTTTCTCAAGATTTTCTTAGGATTTTCTCAAAGTTAGTAGAAATTTTATATTTTCTTATGAAAAATGGAAAGAATACAAGCACGGGTTGCGTGCTTATAACTAATAAAAAGATAAGAGAGAGATTGTATTATCGAGTACAACAGTGTGAAATAAAATGAAGTACAACCAATTATTTGGGATGGGAGTTCCCTAATCCACGTTAAATTTCCTCCTCAAACTCAAGATGGTGTTGTAGAAGCTAACTTGAGTTTGGAAATTAAAATTTAGTCAAGATAAATCAAGTCATATGATTGATAAATTCTTTAAACAGTTGCCATATCGACTATTTCGTGTCCTCTTATGGTAAAATTTTTGTGGAAGGGTATGGAAAGAGACACGATAGAAAGATGAAAGTTTAAAATAACTATTCTTACCAATAGTAAAGTGAAAAAAAAAATATTATTGTGGTGGGAAAAATAAAGGCCACCATTAAAGAGGAAGAAAAATAATTATTATTATGGTAGGCAAAAATAAAGGGAGAATGTAGTTTAAGTAAAAATAAAAAAAAATAAAAAGAGAATGTAGTCAACAACAGATTTGTAAAACTATATTAAGTAAATAGCAACTTTTAAAACTGTTTAAAGTAAATAGCAGTTTACTGTGTAAATGTTTTATTTATGACTAGTAAAAAGATTTTTTAAGTAAAATTTCCTTTTACGACTGTTACAAAGATTTTTTTTCCACTTAAATAAAGATTTTCTACCATGTAAACTATTTTTTACTAGTTGTAAATGAAACATCTATAAGGTAAACTGTTATTTACTTCAAATAATTTTAAAATGTGTTATCTACTTAATTTAGTTTTATAAATATGCTATTTACTACAATTTTCCTCAAAAGAGACTATTGAATTTAATTGGTAGATCTATGTCAAAAAATAAATATTCTGCATATTTTTCTAATTTATTAAGACTTCAAGCATATTCAACAGTCAAAAATTAGTATTACGTAGACGTGAAAGCTCGGACTGCTCGACCTGACCTTAAAGGGAGAAATTTTATAAGGGACTTTTATTTTTTATTTAAAAAAAAAAGATGTTAGTGCCGGTCTAACTTGATTTGAATAAACTTTTGGGATAAAAATCTCGCTCTAGTCTAACTTAGATGTTCGGGCTTCAGTTCAGTCCATTTGACCCGACTCAAACTAATAGCTCTAGTCCTAGTCTCTTAGAGGTCCCACAAATAGATCAAAAGGGCAATCTTGACAAATATATCTTGAAAGTGCATGAATCACAATTTTTACCTTAATTCATAATTTTTTAGTCAAATAATTACTCGTATTTATCAAGCGTAAATAATAAAAGTCCAGACTCATTAAATTTTAAACGGTAAATTCTCTCATTTTTTTGTGTCGATATAATATCTAAGGTATTTTTGTGGTAGTAACTAGTAAAAATATTGAGTCCATTTTATTCGTTAATTTAAATTGAGATATAATTTTATGTGAGAACTTTTTATTATAATAAAAAAATTAAATGTAATTATTTTTAAGAACTACTATAACAAAACTGAATTCTAAAAGTCAATCGTCTTCCCTCCTTAGACCGCTAACACTCGGCAAGCAGCTTTAAGTGTGTTGGATTCCCTCCCTCCCCCTGGGGCACTTTGTATAAATAAACTAAGCAAAAAGTATTTTTAAGTAAATAAACCACCAAAAAATTAAATTGGGTAAGTAGCCCAACTTCATCAATTATGGTTTTAGAGTTTTCTTTCTCCTCCTCCTCTTCCATTTCGCGCCATTTTCTTCTCCCAGCAGCCTTCCATTTCTTCTCTCTTCTTCGTCATCGCATAACCTCATTAACATTATTATCTTGTCCATTCAACATTTTTTTCTCATCCAAAACGAAGTTTGAAGAAGAGCTACTAAGTAAGTCTTTCTTTTTCTATATCTCTCATGGTGTTTTTCGTAGTTGGTCATATGTTTTTAAGATGAGAATGTAGTTAAAAATGTTTAAAATCCATTCAAATAGTAATTTTACATGGTAAAAGACCAATTTACATTGTCTGATATGATGAAGATATGCTGGGTTTAGAAAAAAAAAGGTTTGTTCTTGGTCGGTTCGTGGTTTGTTCTTGGTCTGTTCTTATAATATGGTCGGTTCATGATCTGTTCTTGGTCTGTTCGGTCGGTTCTGGTCTGTTCTTGGTCTGGGGGTCAATTCTGGTTCTATTCTTGGTATGTTTGGACGGTTAATGGTCTGTTCTTGGTCTGGAGGTCGGTTCTTTGTCTGTTCTTAGTCTGTTCGGTCGGTTAATAGTATGTTCTTAAGTCTGTTCTTGATTTGTTCTTATTAATTATGGTTTGTTCTTGGTCTGTTCTCATTTTATGGTATGTTCTTAGTTTGTTCGTGGGATATTTGGTTTACTTTAATGACATATTATTATGTTGATTAAATTTTTGCAGTTTTAACACCTAAATAAGTGGAGGATTTTTTTTGACATTGGAGGAAAATGAGAGGATGATGAAAGTTGTTGGGTGTGGCATACAGACTGTAATTTAATTGGCATATATATGGATGAGAAGGATACTCTCGAAACCTTCGTTGATAAGATTTGTAGAAAATGTGGAATTGATGGATAAAAACATTCTTTGCAGTTATCGTGGGTACCGAATTTGAAACAGAAATCGTTGCCCGTTGTAATAAAAGACAATGATGATTTGTTATTCTTCAGGGATATAGCCCATGAGGTACCGCTACACGTGATAGTGGATGAGAAGTTTATGAATCCAGAAGAACATATTGATTTTGTCAAAATTAGGAGAAATCCTTTGCATGACGATTTTTTTTTATCGTGATTTTATGGGTATTGTAGCTCCAGATGAGTTTTTAACTCGTAATAATATTCCACCACAATCGCAACCACAACCAGAGTCACAGCCACAGCTAGAGCCATAACCACTTGCCATTTTAAATGAAGTAGAAGTTGCTAGTCCTTTAGTTTGTATCGACCAGACTGAGTTTGGATCATCTCATGGATCTACCTTCAGTGACGGATCTAGTTTAGAAGTTGGTCAGTACTTTACAAGTAAGAATGATTTGAAGGAAAAGTTGCATTTAATAGCTTTGAAGGGAAAGTTTGATTTCGAACAACAAAATCAAATAAAGACGTGCTTGTAGTAGAGTGTGTGGATCAAAATTGTGTGTGGCGTATCCGAGCCTGCAAACTGAGACTATTGAACATGTTTGTAATCCGCAAGTATAATGGTGTTCACTCTTGCTCGTTAGAAAAGCGTTCAGCGAAGCACAGGCAAGCAACGTACTCCGTTATTGGAAGTTGCATGAAAAACCAATTTATAGACGTCAAACAGGGTCCGATTCCCAAATCAATTCAGAAATATACCCGTGACGAATTCGGGACAGACTTTAGTTATTACAAAGGATGGAAGGCTCGTGAGCGTGCACTTTAACTCTTAAGAGGTACGGCCGAAGAAAGCTTCACTAAGCTCCCATCATACTTTCATATGGTGTCTCTTACTAATCACGAGAATATCACCAATATTCATTTTGATGAACATAACCGTTTTATCTATCTTTTCCTAGCATATGGACCTTGTATACGAGGTTTTGGTTGTATGAGAAAAGTTATCAGTGTTGATGGAACGTGGTTGAAGGGAAAATTCAGAGGTACGTTGTTAGTTGCCACTGCACAGGATAGTGAACGTCATTGTTATCCCATCCCCTGGGTCATTGTAGACTCAGAGAATGATGCATCCTGGACATGGTTCTTCTCGAACTTGAAGGAAATTATCACTGATTCTGAGGAATTAGTTTTTATTTCTGATAAGAATCAAAGTATAAGTAATGCATTGTCTACAATTTATACATTAGCACATCACGATTGTTGCACATGGCATGTGTCTCAAAACATCAAGAGTAATTTCAGATGTAGCGGTGTTCTGCCATTGTTCTTTAAAACCGCTGAGGCCTACCGCATTGACGAGTTTTCTGTCTTGTTTGATGAGTTGTCTGCCAGATATCCCAGTATTGCCAGATACCTACATGAGCAGGTACGTTTTGAAATGTGGTCTCGTGCTCATTTTAAAGGAAATTGATATAATATTATGACCACAAACATGTCTGAGTCAGTTAATGCAATGCTCAAAGATGTTCGAGATTACTCTGTCATTGCCCTCTTTAATTTTATACAAGTAAAGATGTTAGAGTGGTTTAATAACAGGCGGGTTGAAGCTTCTAAAACTAAAACATTATTAACGCCAAGTGTGGAAAAAAGTGAGAGGCACAACAAAGCGGGATTTCTAACGGCCACAAGACTTAATACTGTTGAGTTCCAAGTGACAGGTGGAGAGGCCACTGCAATTGTCAACATTGGAGCGAGGAGTTGCACTTGTCGTGTGTTCGACCTTGAGCAGATACCATGCGAGCATGCAATATCATGTTGTAGAGAAGCAGGAATATCTCTCTATGATTTATGCTCAAAATACTACAGGACAGAAGTTTGGGCTCTTGCGTATGCTGAGACAATCTATCCTGTGCTGGATACGGCGCAATGAGATATTCTGAATCACGTAAAGGAAGTTCACCTTCTTCCACCGTGAGCTGTACCAAAGAGGGGTAGGCCAAAGCAAAAATGCATTCCCAGCATAGGTGAGTTCACACGAAGACAAAACCGATGTGCTAGGTGTGGACAATATGGACATTATCAGAAGAAATGTAAAAACGCACCGATGGTTCTTGGTCTGTTCTTGGTATGTTCTAGGATTTTTCTTTTTTTACCAAATTTTTTTCTCTTTTATAAATTAAAATAGTTATTAATACCCAAAAAGTCAAAAAATATGTAAAAAAAATGTATGTTTTTAATGTTTTATTAAAGTTAGTTATTAGTTTGTTCTTGGTTTTTTCTAGATTTTTTCTTTTTTTACTAATTTTTTTCTCTTTTATAAATTATAATGGTTATTAATACCCAAAAAGTCAAAAAATATGTAAAAAAAAGGTACGTTTTTAATGTTTTATTAGAGTTTGTTTATGGTCTGTTCTTGGTATGTTCTTGGTCTGTTTGATCGGTTCTGGTCTGTTCTTGGTCTGGTGGTCTGTTCTTGGTCTGTTCGGTTGGTTCTGGTATGTTCTTGGTCAATTCTTGGTCTTTTTGGTCGGTTAATGGTCTGTTCTTGGTTATTTTAACGTTATTTAACTTATTCCGTGAATCGGAGGCAGGGCACTGCCCCTCTTTTTGGACCCAAGGCCCGCCCCGGCATGCCACCCCCGCGCACGCGCTAGTGCCACCCCGCGCGTGCGCCCCATTGCCACCCCGCGCGCGCAC